TGCTTGAGTGCTGGATATCCTGATCGCCACTGTTGGATCCCTGACTTCTGGGTTGTCTCCGGGAGTGTTGAAAAAGACGATACGCACAGAAAGTTTATCTGGCGAGTATACCACAACCAAAACTAACTCAACAGCAACCCTAACCGGCTGCACCTCCTAAGAGAACGTGTGCGTCATCAAGTTTTATCAGTGTTTATTCCTCTGATACAACACACAAGAGCTCGATAGGTCGGTGAAATCCTCTTCAAAGTGATTTCTTTGCAGTCCTGAAATAACTTCGATAGAAGCTACATGGACCTACCAAACACTATCTCAGTGGGAGGACACTGATGTGCAGCGAGCATTACGTTATTGCGTATCAAATGGCGGCGGAAATGGGTATGTGACAAGAGAATCGTAATTCACCGCGCTGGTGGGCGTCGCTGCGACGTCGCGCCCGCAAATGACGATGGTTCCAGGTAGTAGATGGCGACAACAGGCAATTACAGAACTGAAAATAGTCATGAATGTCTATGTCAAGAATGCTGAATGTGAAAGAATGTTAAGAAACGCAGCGTCCATTGCCGCGCGCGGTGGAGAGGCAAATTACGATCCTCTTGCCCGTCTCCCGGCGGAAATATCAGGAGCAAGTCACAAGCTACAGTGTCACGCACTATAGCGGCACACTTCTGCGGAAGTAGGCCCATCCATCGCAAACAGGAAGCAAATCGCACAATTGTGTCTATGTTCGCAGTGTAGGCCAGATTATGTGCAACTACCTTACTTTTACCCAGAGATCAGGGGTCAGTGCACCAGTAGCGCAACAATAGAGGCACGAAATGTTGGTCTCAAGCTTTCCCTTGGCTCACGTTCTGTGCGGACCTGTGCATTTCCCTTGGCCCGCTCACGTTATGCGGACCCTGATAATGAAAACCTTTTTTGAAGCCGCTGTGAATTTCAACAACCATTTTCAGGTGGTTCTGTCATTGTTTAACCAAGATGATAGCAATGTTGTTCAACCCCGATCGGTCGTTGGAAGCGCTAAGTGGAATGGTGAACTCATTGAAAAAATCCGTAGAGACGCGATTCTTTTCAATAGAATCCATGGACATTTACCACTACTGCGATTTGAGCTCTTTCGCCGCATTCAGGTGAAGGATTTTAATGAATATTTTGAAAACAGCACTGAATAGTGAGAGATTTCATGATTCTCATGGATTATGTTTCAGTGCAGGATATCCGACATTGAAGCAAGAGCTAGACCTGAAACCAGGCGTGGAATACCGTTTGATCTATGAAGACCAGTTGGTAGTCTTCACTAACAGCTGTCTCGAAGGAAATTCTAGTCATCAATCGCCGCCTATTCTTTTTCCTTTACTGGCTGATATTCCATGGTCCCCGAAACAATGGGGACTTTCAATAAAATGCTCTGGAGGTTATATTATTTTATCAATCGGTCTTGTCCTTCGTATGATTGTTTTGTTTTAGATACCAATGAATTTGCAGCCAATTTCGCCAATGCTGTCAGGTCGAACATTCTTGGACAAGCAGGTGAAGCTCTTCGCGACTGTGAGAAAATCGTGGAAGTGGTGGAAATTTCGCGAAACACTCTTCGAAATCAGCTTATGAGAGTGGGTTAATCACTCAAATTCTTAATCAAATTTTTAGTCACGAGCTTCTACTATCCTGTAGTGTTAAGTACTTGATTTCCCATTTCAGCTGAAAATAGAACTTGAAAGTGTGCGTGAGAAAACAACTATGCCGATGCGTTTCACAATACATGCAAAGATGCATTCGTTTGCCCTTATGCCTTTTGTGGAAAACGATACGGATAAGGTGGGTTTTCTACGCTTCAGACAGACCTTCCCAATCAACTTCAATTTATAAAGAGCGCTTGTGGCTTGGTATGGATCCTCCTCCACACGGTTCCGTGGCAAATCCAAATTCAGCGTCACTAGGAGCCCAGGCCTGTCTTCATCTTCAGGGGGCAAGTCATCCTTTAACCCGCGGTAGATAATCATTGGGCCGGGAACGTTTTGATTCATTAGGGCTGAGGCCAGCCGGGTGCAAGAATTGCATGACATGGCGAAGGAGGTGTTCAGATGGCACCAATTGTATAGGTATATCAGAAAACATTTTATATACTTCAGTAAGTACTCAATGCGGTCTTCGAGCCCCTTTCCTCTTCTATCGAATGGTACTCACTTGCCCCAGTCAATTAGCAGTTATGCAAGAAAACCGAGATGAAAACCATAGAGTCGCTAATGTATCACTACATTTTTTCCAAAGTATTGGTAAAGGAATGAAGAGGATGAGGGGGCTCGCCTCTAGGGTTTGAACATCGGCTCACTTGCGCACTTGATAATATTGGCCAGATCAATCTGTGCTGAAATCAAACTGCCCATGTTTTGAAAGTGAACGTAGTCTATCAAGAGAAGTCACTGTGGCAGATCTATTTGAACGTCATGCGATTTTGTGCTTCTTTAGGCGGCCTCTTTTTTTTTTTTTTTTATGCGCTGTTAGGCTCTTTAATTCAAAATGCAACTGATCATTTGTATTGTTTTTAACAAAGGTTCAATATGCAAATAGCAGCGGTGGCTTGTGTTAGGAACTACTGGTTCTTTGTTGTAGGCTGTTATGGATCGTATATGTGAATTAGCTGATAGAGCAGCGAAAGCACTGGAAACTTGTACAGGTAGTTACTGTTTACGCTTTATGCATTTGGATGCTCCATTACTTCTGAACATTGATCTTTCTCTTTTTGTTGACATCAGATATTGCAGACTACATCAATCAGTCGTTAATTCTCACAGCTGAACATTTGTCTGAAGTGGATTCGTTAGAACTTATCACAGTAGAAGAACCCGGGCTTGAAGGTAAGGGTATCAGCTTTTAGATTTGTTCGTTTCAAAGGAAGTATTACGTATTTAGATGAACTTAATGCTATGCTCAGCGACGATCCTCACTCTACAGCTATTTACGATTATGAAAGGAAAATTAGCCGACAAGTGCGTGGCAAGAAGAGCAGAACTAGCTGCTCAAGCTGTGTAACAAGTCAGAAAAATCTATCGTTCGCGTTTTGCTTCGAGTTGCAAGGTAACTGAAATTCGTGTAATTTGGTTTTCTATGATTTAACGTTTACTCGTTTTTAGGTTCGTCGTAGATATGAGGGTAGAACTTATGAGATATTGCAATCTGATAGACGACTGCATTAGCGATATCGAAAGGCCCTTCCAAGAGCTCAAGGTATTTAGATAAATTTTGTTTCGGTCCAAGAGTAGAGGGTCGACTCATACAACCTTTACGTGGTTTCCGCTAAATAGAAAATTTGGAGGCACTTTCCATGATAACCTCATAAGTGGCACTGCTTTTGCATGCCGATGAGGAG